GAGAGAGAGAGAGAGAGAGAGAGAGAGAGAGAGAGAGAGAGAGAGAGAGAGAGACATAGAGAGAGAGAGAGGGTAGATCTTTCCAAGGTGGGATGGGGGGGAGGGGAAGGGAGGAGAGATAGAACGAATCTAGGCTACTACGCTTTGCTATTGTACCTCCCTTCATTATTGCGGGTGTAGCCACAACAGGTCCCCTAGTATGCACGTAACAGTTTCTGCGAGATCCCTTCTTCAGGAACAAACTCCTTGGACTTGACCCATACCAAGTCCCCTACTGCAAATTGTGATGGTCATCAATGTTTGTTAGCGTGTTCTACAATCTGGTGTTGGGCCTTTAGGATGTTCTTTTTTGACCTGCTCTCGATCCTTCTCGTATTGAATAGCAAACTCCCTTGTACCGGGCAGCAGTCTTTGAATCTGATTTGGATTCAAGCAGTCAATCTGACGCCAGGGTTGCCAAGCTCTGTGCAGTTCGTTAGGGGTGCGTGGCACTGCGTGCAGTAGACAAGTGCACCGAGTTGTTGTACGCAGACTGCACTTCAGGAAGATGTTCGTCCCAATCGATCTGGTCAAGCCTAATGTACATGCGTAACATTGCTTAAGCAGTTTGTTCATCTGCTCAGTCTGGCCATTGGTCTACGGCTGTCGACCAGAAGACATGGTCAGCTTTCATCCATAGACTTTCATCAACTGTTGCCAGTGCTCGCCCGTGAATCTGCTATCCCTATCACTAACAATCGCTACCGAGTGTCCATAATCCTTAACCCAGTGATTGAAGAATTCTCTAATCACTAAATTTGTCTTTGCCTCAGAGGGCAGCGGAATAAGAACGACAAATTTACTAAATCTATCTACAACAACCATCACTTGACTCTTCCCGTTTCTGCTTTTAACTTTTGTGTCCATGAAGTCAATCGACACGGATTCACTGGGACCGGATGGGACAGGTAACGGTCTCAACAGGCCAAGTGGGGATTGTGTGGAACTTTTGTTCCGTTGACACACTTGACAGCCCTGGATATAGGCAATGCAGTCGTGCTTCGTGACGACCCAGGTGTACAACCGGAGGAGATTAGCATAGGTTTTCCTCTAACCGAAATGGCCCTCAGTGTCATGGCATTCTCCCAGGATCAGACTTTTGACTGTCTTGTTGTTCGGGATGCAAAGTCTTTCGAACCTGTCTGTTATTTCGAACCGTAGGACATTGGTTACTCTATAGTCCGGGACTTTGTGTGGTGCAGTCTGCACCCTTTTACTTAGCTCGCTGCAAATGGGATTGTCTGTGTACGCAGCCTTGATCTACTGATGTAGCTCGGCGCCTGCATCTAGGTGAGTCATGATGGCACCGAAGAAATCGGCGCGTCAACTCAATGCGTCCGCAGCGACATTGTATTTGCCCTTGACTGGTTTCAGCTCAAAGTCAAACTGATGTATCTCCCCTTTGATTTTCTTAAAAATGAGGGTGAAAATTGGGGGTTCGGTTAACCTTCTCTCCTCCCCAGCCCATCTAGTCAACTTAGGAGTCATTCGGGCTTGGGTTTTCAACTATCATAGGGTCCCTTGGTCAGAGTAAACTTTAAAGTGCCTTCCTAGGAGATAGTGTTGCCAGTGGTTCAGTGCCTCCCTCAGGACGAACAGCTCGCGCTCATAGGTCGACGCAGCGACCTTCTCACTAGGCAACCTACAAGACATGAACTCAATGGGCCGGTACCCCTCTCCATCATTCTGCTGAAGTACGACGGGGTACTCTGCAAGAGTTCGTCCATAGTGGCCTTTAGTGTTGACACAATCTTTCATTTTCAATCGGCTATGTTGAGGATCAGATGCTCAACATGTTTGGGCAGGTTCTTGTCCTCGAACCGATTCTTTAAGGCCAGGAAGAATCTTCAATGCGGGTCCTGGGGGAGTATTCTACCATCGACGTGCGCCCTACCTCTTTCATTAGGGAGAGAGAATAATTTGCAGCATCT